AGGGGTTGGTTCTCTCCTTCTGCTGTGGGCTGAGGGGTTGGTTCTCTCCTTCTGCTGTGCGCTGAGGGGTTGGTTCTCTCCTCTGCCATAGGCTCATGTGTGGTGGGCCATAAGAATATATTATAGAGATCCAGTTGTGTATTAAAGCTATACTTTGACCAGCCAAGGGTCTGTATAAAGGCAAGCCATTTATTATGAATATTTGGTGTTGTCCAGCCTTTAATATTTCAGCTGTCTTCTGCTATGAAATTCTTGTGTGGCCAAATATTTCCAGGCCATTTGGCTAACAGTTCAGCTCCCCATACTTGCCGGGCTTCGAGGTAACTAACGCCCCCACTGAGCCTAGGAGACAAGCTGGCTGGAGACACATAGCTTTGTTTCTTGTGCTAATGAAGCTCAGACATCCTCTTGCCTTGAGGCCTAGAGGCTCTCCAGAGCAATTCACTAATAACAAAAGAGGTTTTTTACATATCAAGGTGGAAGGTAGAGCAACATTCCTGAGAATGCAGAGAACTGCATGGCTTTGGGAAAGACAGACAGGCATTTTTCTGTAGAGTAGACAGAACCATGGAGAAGAGAAGAACACAGAGGTAATGTAGATGGTAAGGCAGAACTCTTGAGCCAGGAGTAGAGAGCAAGTAGAGATGGAGGGAGAAGAAACAGAGGACGAAGACGAAGCTAGAAGCATAAGAGCTTAATCGTTAGCAAGACTATGAGAGGGAACTGGATGGAACTGAAGCTATGGAGATAGGATTTTATCCAAGAGAAATAAAGAACTTGGTGTATCTAGATTTATTCTTGTCCTGAATGCCTGACAGAGCTGTAGCTGTATGGATAGAATTTTGTCTTAGAGGAATAAAGTTAACAGACATAAGAGCATAGTAGATTTTTTTCCCTCAGATATCCCATGCCAGACATGGTGAAATTCCCAGTCCCTGGGAAATCAATACTCAGGTGTTGATGTAACCAATCGTCTTATTAAAATAAGAAACACAGAGCCAATGTAA